TTGCTTTTTTGTGGCGAGAACATTTAACAACTTTCGTGTGTATGATGTATTATTGCTAACTGCAGCACCATGCTGCGCCTTAAATCCCCAGAACTTGTTCATCTTGTGACTGGAAGTTTGTACCTTTGACCAACCCTCCCCACCGCTCCCTCCCCTGACCCCAGCAACCACCATGTGAGTCTTCGTGTCTGTAAGTTAGACTTTTTTTAAGATCCATATGAAGTGAGATCACACAGTACTTGTCTTTCTCTGTCTTCTTCATCTCATGTTGCATAATGCTCTCCAGGTCCATCCATGTTGCTGCAAACAGCAAGATTTCCTCATATATATAGATCTTCCTTATCCACTCATCTGTCGATAGACACTTTGGCTGTTTCCATGTCTTGACTGTTGTGAATAAGGCTGCAATAAACACAGGAGTGCATTTGTCTCCTCAATAACCCTTTTTAATTTTCTCCGGATGTACAGAAGCAGAACTGCCGGATCACACGGCAGTGCCAGCTTCAATGTTTTCAGAAGCCTCCATACTATTTCCACAGCGGCTGCACCAATTTACATTCCCACCAACAGTAAACAGGGTTCCCTTTCTCCACATCCTCACAAACATTCGTTGTTGTCTTTTTGATGACACCCATTCTGACAGGTATCAGGTGGTATCTCCTGGTTTTGATTTGCATTTCCCTGGTGATTAGTGATGTTGAGCACTTTTGCATGTGTCTGTTGGCCATCTGTACATCTTCTTTGGAAAAATGTCTACTCAGACCTTCTGTGAGAGAAATGTGCTTTACTGGTCTGGCTCCACACTGAACCATGACTGGTGGTTGTCCCCTTTGACGAGTGTACCCTTTACACTCAGCACGTGAGAACACAAGGACACAGGAGTAATGTCTCCAGGGGATCAGGTGGCTCGTAACTGTTTATAGACACAGCCCAGGGAGCCCCCAGTGTTTGGGGAGAGAGTGGCTGACGCTCTTTGCCTCCAGAAGTGACGTCAGAAGGTCTGGCCTCAAGGGAAGTGAGCCGCCGTGGAGTCCCCTCCTTGTTGGGGCCAGCCCTCTGCCCACACTCACCAGGAAACAAGGCTTCAGATGGAAGAAATAAAAGAGAACACAGGGCGGTGGTGTCAAGCTGGGGCAGGAAGGACGTAAGGAGGCAGCTGTGTGGTCGGAGCATCCAGGTCACCCACCAGCCCCCCCCGACTCAGCGGTAATTTGAGGCTCATGCTGCCTCCTTGGAAGGCGAGACCTTTGAGCTCACTGCCCCTTGGTCCCTCCTGCCTCCAGGCTGCTGGGCTTCAGCTGGAACCTAAAGGTAAGAAAATGGCTTAAAAGAAATCCTTTACGTAACTCATTGATTTACCTTTTTTAATCTGTACGATAGTAATGTAGGTGCGGCTGTGTAGACAGGACTGATTAATTCAAGCCAGAAAGCACGTTAAGGAACCTGAAGAATAAGATGTTTGTAACCGGCGGGGCACCAGCCAACCGAGCAGGGCTGAGAAACCCAGGCCCAGGGCAGACGTCTCCCTGAGCTCCGCTCTCACGACAGGGTCTCGCTCCCGCCCCTGCCCCTAGCAGCCCCCGCTTCTGTGCCACGGCCACTCCTTCCAAAAAGTGCCCTCCTTCCATCCGGCTGCTGCCCACAGTCAGCACTGGGCCTCAGACGGGCTGGGATCCGGGCTCTGGGGGCCAGACGTGCAAGCAGGGAGAGTGGGGCAGTGGGGGAACAACTCCGGGGCTTACACACAAAATGCTATGGGTTCCCACAGAAGGGACCAGGATTTCTGTCCATGGCGCCAGGGAACTGGGGCCCTTTTTTTTTCAGTCTCTAGGTTCTTCTCCACCTGTTTTTAAACTCTCTTGTGATTCACTAAAGAAACTGTACCCTTGACCTGCGGACTTTCACAAGGTCTGCATTTTGTTGAGCCTCCCTGTGGGGTGTTTTAACATGTCGCCCTGTTCTCTGCATTTTCTGTAACGCATCTAGATTTTGAGACTTAATCAGAATCAGATTCAGGGCTTTGGGCAGAACCGCTTTGTAGGTAACGTGCTTCTCACCGAGGGTCTGCTTGTCCTCTGTGATGCTGGGGCCTGTGAAAGTTAAAACCCTGGATCCTTTCCCCATGGAGGGCTGCAAAGGACCTTACAAGCCTATAATTTATTGTTCATGTGTTTGCTGGAATAATTCTGTGAAGAGAAACTTTTTTTGTCTCCTAATTGGTTTTCCAGCTGTGCAATTAGTACAGGAAATTCAAGATGACTGGTTTATTCTCTCCCTCCAGTCACCAGTTTCCAAATAGACAGCTGGTCTCTAAGATGCCTTCGAAGGTTAGTCTGCATTAGTCCGTTCAGGCCGCCTTAACAACATAGCCCACACTAAATGGCGTAAACAGCAGAGATCTGCCTTCTCACAGCTCTGGAGGCCAGAGGGCCCAGGTGAGGCGCGGGCAGGGTGGTTACTACCGAGGCCTCTCTCCTTGGCCTGCAGGTCAAGACTTCTTGCTGAGACCTCACGTGGTCGACCCTCTGGGCAGGTGCAGCCCTGGCATCTCTGTGTCTCATCTCCTCTGCTAATAAGGACACCAGTCCGATTGGATTGGGGCCACTGGCCTCATTTTAACTTAATTACCCCCTTAAAAGCCCCATCTCCAAATACAGTCACATTCTGAGGTCCTGGAGGTCAGGGCTTCAACGCAGGAATTTGGGGGGAGACGCTGTCGGTCCATGGTCCATGATCATGTCCCCGGAGTGGTTTGTAATATATACAGTTTCCTGTTGTGGCTATAACAGATTACCACAAATTTAGCATCTTAGAACAACACACATTTGTCACCTGACACCTCTGTCATTAGAAGTCCCCAGCAGGTGTCTCCGGGTGAAACCAAGGTGCTTGCAGGTAGCGCTGCGCTCCTTTATGGAGGTCCTGGGGGAGAATTGCTCCCCTCTCATCCTGGTTGTTGGCAGAATTCGGGCCCTAGTGCTGCAGGATTGAAGTCCCATCTCCCCGCTGTTGGCTGAGGGTGGTTCCTGAGGCCACGTGGGGCCCCTGACCCCTCCATCTCCAGGCCGGCGACGGCTGGATGAGTCTCCCTCAGGCTCTGAATCCCCCTCCGCTGCTGCGTTGCTCCCTCTCTCTGGCTCTTCCACCTCTAACCGTCCTCGTGGGGGCGTGGGTCCCACCGTATAGCCCAGGACAACTCCACAGCCTTCAGGTCCTTAAGCCTAATTCCATCTGCAAAGTCCCTTGGCCACGCGCTGTGACGAATGAGGAATTAAGGCACAGACCCCTTGGGGGCTACTCTTCTGCCTACCACGCATCATGTGTATCTGAAAAGGAAACACATCAAAATAATAATTCCTGCGTGATGATTTTTTTCCTTGTACATCTGAGCTTATTCCAAATTTTATGCCCTGTGTATGTATATTTATACTCACAACACAAAACAAGAGGTCATTCTTACAGGAGGAATGTGGGTTTTTAGGCAAACGTTGGCTGCCATCCTGAACAAGTTACTGATCACGTGACTCTCCGCTTCCTCACATATATAATGATGTTAACACTCTTTCCCAATAAATGTTTGATACAGATTACAAGAGAAAAATTTGTAAAAGCTCTAACACAGAAGGCCTGTTAGAAACCTTAGTTCTCTCCCCTTCTCCCTCCTGAAACTGACCATAATCTCAGGAGGATTGTCCAAACTCCACCTTCTTTGACACATTATAAACACAGCTGCTTCTTATGGTTGGAATATTTTTGGAGAGAGTTTGTCTTTCGCTTTCTGAAAACACAGGGTCCATCCTGAAGGGCTGGACTCACCCTGAGAGTAGAAACCCCTTGAAAAGGAGTCTAGGTGACGGGGACACCAGCCTCCCACCCGCTCCTTGGAGGGACTGCCCCAGGCTCTCACGCAACATCCAACAACCGTTTCTTGCCATGGCTTCTGGAAGGACCCTTTCAGCTTTAAAGTTCTAACAGTCATTTTATGCAAGAGTTGGAATGACTTCAAGTTCATAAGGCACTCAGCCCAGCACATGCAAACTGACGTGTTTGGTACTGTTAGATTTTAACTATTAGTTAAATTGGCAGTAGCACTAAATGTCTCTGGAATCCCAGTCGCCAACTATCCTGGGGTAACAGTGCCCGGCCTTCCTCCTTTTGTGCATTTAAAAGTCTCTCGATACAACAACAAAAAACACAGCCTGACGCAGAAGTGGACGAAGGATTTAAGCAGCCTCCAGAGAAGACACACAAATGACAAACAAGCACATGGAAAGGCAGTCAGCGTGGCTGATCGGTGGAGACACGAATCCCCAAAGTACGATGAGCTGTCACCCATGAGGATGGCTATTATAAAATTTAAAAAGAAAAACATAAAGTAACGAGTGTTGGTGAGGATGTGGAGAAGCTAGATCTCAGGTACTGCTGGCAGGAAGGCAAAATGGTGCAGCCGCTGTGGGAATGGTAAGGCAATTCCTCAAAAAATTAAACCTAGAAATGCCACATGCCCGGTGATGCCCCTTCTGGGGGAGGACCCCAAACAGCCGAAAGCAGGTCCTGAAGAGATGTTTGTCCACCCAGTTCACAGCAGCATGACTCACAAAAGCCAAAAGCTGGAATAAACCCCAGGGTCCATGCATGGACGAACAGATAAAATGTGGTCCACACACACCATGAACGATTATCCACCCTCAGAAAAGGGGTGAAACTCCAACACACGCTCCAACATGGATGGATTCTGAAGACGTGATGCCCAGTGAGATGAACCCGTCACCACAGGACAAAGAGTGTGTGATTCCCCTCGTGTGAGGTCCCTGGATGTCCGATCCACAGAGACAGAAGGCAGAGGGCAGGGCCTGGGGCTCGGGAGGGGACCGTGGAGAGTGAGTGTTCCACAGGGACAGAGCTTCAGTTTGGAAAGAGGAGACGTTGGCAACCATGACACAGCAGTGAGGTTGTGCTTCATGGCAGTGAATGGTGCACTTGAAAATGGATAAAATGGTAAAAATTTATGTCATGTGGATTTTACTACAGTTTAAAAAATCTCTCCTCTATTCTCTGCCCATAGGGACGCCCCCTCCCACCCCAAGCTGTCATGGCCCTGACCACAGAAGTGGGGAGACAGCCACCGCTGAGTGAGCTGGAGGGGGTGCCCCTGCCAGCGGCCACGGTGGACAACTGGGGCCAGATCCAGGGGTTTGAGGCCAAGCCGGACGACCTCGTCATCTGCACCTACCCGAAGTCAGGTGGCTGTGGGGCTGGGGCGGAGCCCTCAGAGCGGGGCGGGCACGGCTTCCCAGGGCCGTCAGACCTCCCCCGATGGGAGGTTCGCCCTTGTTCCAGGAGACCTCCTTCTGCGCCGGGATGGGTGCTCCAGGAGGTGGGCTCCTGGGTTTACAGGCTCAAGCACAACAGCTTGGGGGACCCAGCCTGCTGGGCTCCTCCCTCCCTGGAGACCCCGTGGGCGCCTTCTGAGTGGGCGCCCGTCTCTGAGTCCAGCAGGACCCTAGCCCGAGAGGAGGCTGATCCGAGCAGCCATTAGTCTGCCCAGAATGGTGGGGGTGGACAGTCTAACCGGTGTCTGCCTCTCACCATCTGTGTGAGCTGCAGGGACAACATGGATCCAGGAAATCGTGGACATGATTGAGCAGAACGGGGACGTGGAGAAGTGCCAGCGGGCCACCATCCAGTACCGCCACCCCTTCCTCGAGTGGGCCCGGCCGCCCCAGCCCTCGGGTGAGAGCCCCTCCCTCACTGCCCTGCCTCCTCCCTTCCCTTCTTTTAAGACTGCACTTTTTTGGGACAGTGTTGGGTTTACAACAAAACTGGGAGGGAGGCCCAGAGATTTCCCACAGCCCTGCTCCCATCACTACCCACTCCCCGAGGGGAGCCAGCCTGTCAGGACTGAATCGCCACACGGACACGTCATTGCCCGGATCTGAGCCCATCTGAGGGTCCCCCAGGCTGTGCCTCCTGGGGGTCGGGCACACGTACAGGACGTGCGTCCGTCCGGACAGTGTCACACTGTCTGCCGGGCGAAGGATGAGGAGGCATTTGCATAAGCGTCTGGTTCCTACACGGGGTGTCCGCTTCTAGAGAAGGATGTACCTTCCTGGCCGCCCTCAGGGCCACACGGTGGTCGCACAGGCCAGGTGCCCAGGGAACGTCTACAGGACGCGGCAGGAGTCCCGATCCACAGGCCATCAGGAACAGTGTGTCAGGAACGGGGCACACGCGGGGCCTGGCTTTGCCCCAGGAACACGTCTGCTCATCCTCTGACCAACAGTACGTCAGCCCTCCGCTCCCTGCAGCTCTGGGCTGTGTGGGTCCACACAGGGTGATGGCGACACTCCTGTATGAAATCCCTGAAGTCGAGACGCAAGCAGAAAAACAGGCAGGCGATGGGAGAGTCTGGACAGAGCCCCGACATAAGGTCCCCGTGACGCCTGCACCACAAAGGCGTTTCCCCTCCACTCACATTACAGGTGTGGAGCAGGCCCCGGAGATGCCGTCCCCACGGGTGCTGAGGACTCACCTTCCCACCCAGCTGCTGCCGCGGTCCTTCTGGGAAACCCGCTGCAAGGTGAGAAGCTCCCTGGGGTGGGGACAGTGCCCGACCCCAACTCACAGCATCCTCCGTCATCGTCTTCCCTTCCCCACCGCATGGCGTGTCGAGAGTTTAGTAAGAGAAAACAGTGTCTCCAACAGGACAGGAAGGCAACAGCCAGGCTGAATTTTTGGAGAGAACCGGAGACATGGGGGAGGCTGTGAAAGGACGAAAGGTCAAATAATTTCCGGGCTGCAGACCTAGGACTGTCCTCGGTTGTCCCTGGTTGTCTGGTCGTGGCCGGGGTGACCAGAGCAGGAAGACAGTGGCCCCGAGTGTGATGGTGGGGGCTCTGGATGGGCTGGTTTGCATTTGGAAGGTATGCTAATGGTGAGATTACTATCTCAGCAATTGTCCAACCCTGGAAGGGCCCATCCCTCCAGAGCCGAAAAGCCCCCAAGATGTCGGGGCGTCAGCCACAGCAGTGCAGGACTGACGGGCTTGGCGGTGGGGGCGGGCCAGCCTGCGCACTGCAGCGGGCACAGCAGCTCCCTGGCCTCTGCTCACTAGGTGCCAGGAGCACCGCCACCCCTCACTGTAACAACCAAAACCATCTCCAGACACTGCCATGGTG